CGCACATGTGTTACTATAAGCCGTGACCTCTTGGCACATCAACCCGTCTAGTTGGAGTCTTTCTTTCGAAAACCTGCCGCAAACTGGGCAGTAGGGAGGGTTGCTGCAATGATTGGGAAGAAAAAGAAAAAGATTATGCTTACGTAACATCAATTGAGAGGACTTATCGCTTTTGGCAATTGCTGTCGGAATGTGTGGGGTAGTGTACATGCAGGTCCGAAAGCGAGGCACGCAGCAGATATTTGTATACAACACCAAGTAAATAGCCAACGAGTTGATTTGAGTGGCTGCTAAGTATCGCTAGGCCATATTCGTTACAATGATCGTACTCGTAGGCACAAGTAATGTTTTTTTTTTTCAATTCGTTTATTTGGTGTGATTTAAACCTTACGGAGCCGAAAGTCTTTAAAATAATGTTTCAACTAACTAACGGAGTGGTGTGGGATGGATGTCGCATGCTGTGTCCAAAATGGCGGATTAATCAATTTTAAATTGCATCGGGTTTTCTACGCCAAAATTTAGTTTGGATCCAAAAGTTCCTAAATCGGATCATTTTCAAAAATTCTGTCGAAGAAAATTTCAATTATTCAATTTTAACATAATTTTCATTTTCATGCAAATAGTTGGTTATGGCTCTGAAAAACCAAAAACTTCCCATACAAAAATGAACCAAAAATTTCCTCCGACAGAATATTTTAAAACCAACCGATTTATGTATGTTAGCATCCATTTGGTGAAGAAAAAATAAGGTTGAACAATATTGTCAGTCATAAAATATTCTGGGTTTGTTGTTTTCCTAAATCCCTTTCCATACCCTTCATGGTAATTTTAGGCTTCTATGAATTGAACTCTAAATATTTAATATTTTTATAACTGAAAAAATTGTACAACATAAATTATCATCAATATACAGAACAGTTATAATAATTACAATTAATGCTTATGGTGGTTTCGACTGGTTGATTGGAATTACTTTATGGGGTGGCTTTTTCAGTCTTTTAGTAGAGACGATTTGTTTTTTATGTTCCCTATATATTTGATGATGAGCATTCAATGTTGTGCATTTCCAGCTTTTGATTACATAAATAATGTCCCTTTTGACCCCAGCCTTTTCATATTTGAATGAAACGTTGCTACCCAAGGCGACATTTTCCATTTAAGTATTGACCATTTTTCTGGACTAATTTTCTATAATGGCATCCCATTCAGCCAGAATGCACGTATCCTCAAAGTTGTTAGTATTTACAAACATATATACAAACAAGCAAATAGTATAGAATTCAAAATAATGGAACGAACATTCTCGAGTAACATATGAAAAAGGCATACAAGCCAAACGTAAAAAATTCATTTAAACATCGATTGTTCACAAATTACAACACGCCTACACAAACTAAATGTTTACTTATTGATGAAAGCAAACTTATTGGATGGTAGCTAGAAGCTTTAGCTAGATTTTTATCCACCTTCAAAATTGGAACAAATTTTGCATTTTATCAGGAAACTATGCCAATTGGAAACAGCTTTTAAATAATTTTACCAAGAAAAATAATCCTTGTGAGTTTTTTTAAGAGGATATAGAAAATTCATCACCTGGAGCTTTCATATTTTGAAACTTTTTAGTTATAGATCTTACTTCGTTCAAATTAGTCGCCCAGTAATCATCAAACATATTTAGCCGAGTGAAAATATACAAAAATAATCCCGAGCAACCTGATTCTCAATAGCACTAGTAAGACAAAAAACTGAAATTATGGGAACTCTCGATTTGCTTAGCAAGTTTCTGAGCTTTTTCCGAATTTGTGTGGAATAGGCATTTGAATTTTGTTTTTAATTTTTTTGTGAGCTTCCAAAGGGTTTTTAGCTCGGGTCTAATTTCGAAATATTATTTTCAAAAGTTTTGTTCCTCAGTGCAGAGAATAGCCAGATAACTTTCATGGCTGGATAGTGTTTTCTTTAATATTGCCGCCTATGGACATTTTTAGACGGATTAAGAGCTGAAGATTGTCGCCTATTATAATTTAACCTCGCATTTTGGTACTGACGCACCTTGCTTAAACTATAGAAATAGTTAGAGATTCAAGAGCATTTTTAATATAATTTTTGTTTTGTAAAGGGATATTTTAATTAGAGTTATATTCCATAAATGTTAGATATTGCACCCAATCAGCTCTATGGTAATTGAAAGTAGAGCTGTTGAGATTAGAAATTATTTCTCGGAATATTTCGAAAGAAACTGGAAGGTGGTCAGAACCGAAGTCAGCAGGGTAACTAATTGGCTACAAAGCTGACATGAATCAGTTAAGACCAAATCAAAATACGTTGTTCAATTTTTTTTGACAGAAACTCACGAAGTTTCGAAAACTTTGGTTTCAACTGAAGAAATAATTTGATGCTTGATACGTCTATGAACAATGATGGCAACGCCACCACTGGCTCCATCAAGACGATAATCTCGATAAATGAAATAATTGGCGTCTCTTTTAACATTATGCTCAGGTTTAAGGAACGTTTAAGTTATAACGGCAATATGCACGTTATGAGCTCTCATAAAGTTAAATAGCTTGTCTTCATTATGTTTAAGGTATCGAGCATTCCAAATCAAAATATATAATGATTTAAAATCAAAAATAAAAAGTGAGAAATTTCCAACGATGGGTTGGATCAGCTTATCAACTCGCAGATTAATTCTGCACAAATGGTTTTCCGAAAAGTTGTCGTTTCGAGAATTTGCAAAAAGCGAGAAGTGCAGTAAATCTACGGTGTTCAAGACTGTTAAGAAGTTTGGAGAAACGTGTTCTCTTGAAGATTTACCAATCTGGGCGCAAAAAGGGGGCATCGGACCAGAAAAAGGAGCTGGCAGTAGTACGCCTTTTGAAATCGCATAAACCGTGATCTTTTCGTGAAATAGCCAAACAAAAAAAAATTGGACATAACCGTGCAGAATATCAAAAAACGTAACAATATCTGAACCTACAATAGGCAAAAAGCACCCAAAAGGACGGATTCACAGAAAGCTTCTTCGAACATACGGTCACGGAACTTGTATGACGTTCTCCTTCAAACGCTGAACCGATGCATTTTGGATTCAATTGGATTTGGATACCATAACACATCCTGGGCTACAATTTATCAACGCTGAGCAGAAGACAGATGTGCCTGATGATGTGCGATACATCCGAACCGAAAAATTAAAAAAAAAGGTTGTGGTGTGACAAGCCATTTGCTCCTGTGGCTTGAAGATTTCTTCGTATTTCACAACGGGCACAATCAATGGTGAAAATTACAGAATTAATGCAAGGGGCTTCTACCCATCTACCGAAAGAATACGGATCCTCCATTGTTTTTGCCGGATCTGACATCTGCTCACTATGCTTCTGCTACGTTGGAGATGCTCAAGTAGGAAAAAGTCGATTTTGTCGAAAAATTCCAAAATCCCCCAAACTGCCCTGAACTGCGAACTGGAAAGATACTGGGCAATAATTAAGCGGCATGTCAAGAAACATGGAAGAGAACCAAGCTCTGTTGACTGCTTCAAGAAAATTTGGTCTGCAGCACAACGAAAAGTTAAGAAGAAAGTTGTGCAGAATTTAATGGGCGTTATCAAGAGAAAAGTCCGAGCGTTCTTCAGAAATGAGAAGAAAACATTCAAACTCACGTGAAATCGGTCATTTGTATGTTTATTTTCATTTAATATAAAGTAAATTTATGAATTTGTTCGATATGATATTCTACTGTAAAATATAGCGCTTTATAACATTCAAAATGGTAAATTTTATATTAATTGGCCAGAGCGAAATAATCATTGACGGATTATTTATAGCGCAGGAGTCTTCGTTGGTGCATAATGTGCAATATATTTTAAATTTATATTTTTCGTACGTTGTGTTGTTACTTTTACTTTTTATAGGCATATCTGTTTGATTTCCTATTCATATCAGCAGTTATGCTTTTATGGGCAGTTTAGTTGGTCATAAATTGTAATGTGCTTGGAATACTTAGTAGTGATTTCAAAAGTAAAATTTTTTCAGTGCAGAGTTGTGGTTGAACTCTGGCGAAACCACCACAGCCCTTTTAGATTTGATGAATTTTTCGTCAATATAAAGACGCCTTGCCAACAGCAGCAGTTTCTTTTATACATCAATTTTATATCATAGTTTGATTTTTATTGGAGTGAATCTGTGTAACAATATTCGACTTAGTGGTGCTCGGTAACCAACAAGACCACTACCTAAGCAACACACATGTTATATGAAAGTTTATAAAACCTTTATATGACTGTTTTTGGTTGTATAGCAGTTTACTCAACATAATTCAATGAATTTGTGTTACTTGGTTAATTCGCGTTTTTACAATATAAGGCTGATATACGGTTAATATAGAACTTCAGAGCTGTATATTGAAAGTATACCGTATATTGCGGAAAGGTGAATTAGCGGGCATGTTGACTTGGTGTTGGTTTGTATATGATGTAATAGTCGCACAATGTATTCACATCTAAGAACTGTAAAGACTCACGACAATTAACACAGCCATAAAGGCATATGACATATTTTACGTAACCAGAACTAAACCGGTGATGCATTTTGAACATGATTTCCATAATTCGATTTTAAATCGGGCTCTTTGGTCTCTGAAAACTAGGTGGTAAACATACAACTGTGTGTATGATTTGGGCCAAATGGCAATGCATTGCATTGTGTGTTAATTATTGAACAGTCACGGCCATGAATTAATCAACTAGGCTCGGTGACGCTACCGAATGCCGGTTTGATAATTATGCGACTATACCGCACTGAGTATGTGTGCTTCGCGGATCGTTAGTGCATTAATTAATCAGAATTCATTGATCGAGCTGGCATATGGAAATTAAATAGTGCAGTGAACTTGAAACTGGTGGATATTTAATCAGATGCACTAATTGAGCTACTTTTATTCGTTAGTTTTTGTTTGTAGGCTTGCTTGGAATATTTATTTATTTATTTTCTATTTCGTTATAGATTGAACGCGATGCACAACGAGCAGCAATATGTACTGACGATGTCAAGAAAAATTCTGTTCTGAAACTGCTTCTGTCCACTTAAGTCTTCAATCCTCCTGCTGATGGGTTGCAGAGTAGTCAGAGAGTCAATGCACTAGTATACATAGCATATCACGAAACATTAGCCAATAGAGTGTGCCAAAATGACGACCTTATCACATCCCTATAAAGACTGTTCGGGGCCGAAGGAGGTTCCCACCGAGTATGTAAAGGACGTGGGAGATTTGTTTGATTGGTAGGTATTTCGATTAATGACAGTTCAATTTGCCTGCGCGTTCAAACTCTAATCAATCACATCTCATTTGGTTACCTTCGGTAGGATCAAACAGCAACCACGGTTTCCGACTTTTACCAAGAACCATGCCCATCTCTTCCTCCACGCGTGCCTGTGGAATATGGAGGATGCCAAAAAGGCGCTACAGAAATACGCACACATTCACGCCACATCGCCGGACATTTTCGACAACCGGGATGTGCTCTCGACTGGGGTGCAGTTAGTGCTGAACATGACGTAATAGCTTCCACTTTGAACTTACTTCCTCTTTTGTGCTCTTTATATGCATTACTGATTCGTTTATTTTTGTTGTCCTCTATAGCCACATGGTTTCGCTCCCAAAGCTGACACCGGAAGGATATCGATTACTGTGTTACCGTTTATCCGATACTGATCCTTCGAGGATGAACTTTGCCGAGGCAGTGAAGACATTCTGCATGTTCAACGATGTCCAGATTAGCAAGGATGGCCCCATCGAAGGCTACATTGTAATATTCGACATGAAAGGTGTGCGATTGGGTCACCTGGCACGGGTACAGTTCGGTCCACTGAGGACATTCATGAGCTACATTCAGGATGCACATCCTGTTCGACTGAAAAAGATATACATAGTCCATACGGCTTCGTTCATCAATCAGGTGATGGCTCTGGTAAAACCGCTGATTAAATCGGAGCTGCTTGGTTTGCTCCAGTTTTGCACCTCCGGACCGATCGACATTGTCGGTGCCGATCTTCTTCCAAAGGTAAGTAATGTTACGATTAACCCTACCGAGATCAACCAAGCTAAGGCTGAAAGCCTAATAAATACAGTGCCTTCCGAATTTTCACAATAAGGTCCTGGCAAGGACTCTTGAAAACATACACGTATTGTGTTAGGTTTTCGGAAAAGCGATATGAGGGACAAGAAGCAATAAATATCAGTAAAAGATGTTATTAAAAAGTAATTGATTAGAATCATAAGTTTTTCGTGCCCATGAGTTTTCATCAGTCAAATCTAAAATATTTTAAAATTAATCCCCCCCCCCCCCTAAACTGTCTAGGTTATGAACAGCCCCTTATAGAAGAGTAAAATTGGGAGTAAGGAATCTTTTGGAAAGAAATTAACTCTGTGTTCTGTTAAGGTGGACGGTTGATTGTTTGACGACTCCACTATTGACTTATTTGGTTTTTTAAGAGCTGTCAAATATGAAAATATAAACAAAAACAAAGAAAAAATACTCTTGGGGAGATGTGATGTAAATTTCGATGCGTAAATCCTAAGATTGTATAGCACAAAAAGAGTAAAATAATTATATCATTGTTTACGACCCTGTTCCTGGTTCACTAAAGATTGGTTTAATGAACAAAGTAATAAAAATTTGTTTTTACGTAGGCATTAAGTGGCGTTTTTCAGAATAGTTTACCATCGAGTTAAGACAGACAATGCCAATAAGAAGCAGTTTTCAATATTCGGGTTTACTGAATATTGTGCATGCCTTGACTACATATGTGCAAAATAGAACCACCGTCACGGCTGATTCTAGTTCTTGAATGCTGTTGGTCTCCTCCTCTGGGAGTACCCGGGACATATTCAGACATGGTAGATTGAATTTCAAGACATGTCCGTCTTACCCTCAGCTCTGTCCATTTCACCCGCACCTGAAAACAGATGTAATATTTAGGACTATTTTGAATTTTCGAAAAATTGTTATTTATTAAGATTTGACATAAATTGGTGTACGAAGTATCTTTAAAAAGAAGCTCTTCGTAAAAAAAAACGATTTGTGATCAGTACCCACTGATTATAATGAAAACTTTAATGTTGTAAATAATCCTAATCTTAGTGCTAAAACTAAAGTTAAATATTAAAATTAGTGATCTTAACTAATCTATAACTAAATTGAAATCAACATCAACGGCGCCGGTGGTGTAGTGGTAAGCGTAATTACCTCTCACCCCAGCAGGCCTGGGTTCAATCCCAGTCGGCGCCGCCGGGATGTTCTGAGGCATAACATCTCTGATCATGCCTTCCTTCGGATGGGAAGTAAAGCCGTTGGTCCCCGGTTCATGAGTTGATGGGTCAATAGGTAGGGTCCAGGTGTGGGAGCTGCCTTCCTGGCACGTCGGTAGCATTGGTGCTCAGCACGGAAAACAAGATCGACGGAAAAAACAAACCAAAGGAAAAAAAAGAAAAAAAAAAGAAATCAACATTAATTAATATTGTGAACCAGTCTAATGAAGATGATCAACAATTCTCACGAGAGAGAATGATCTCATTCCAATGGCCAATCATTGGACTTGACCAAACGAAACGAATTGTACATATACAATACAAGCAATTAGATATCCAAGCGTGCACAACCAAATCGATTGTCGTTTTGTTTTTCATATAACCATATTTACCTCAATCTTACGCCATCATTCGATAGCAATAAATTGAAAAAATGTGGTAAATTTCGAATTTATTGCATGTGATCTGAAATTCATGTTTATCGCGTCAGTGTTAAAGTATCAGTGTTTTGATCTGTCGTGTGCCCGTGCGTGAATAACATGAAATTCACGAACTGCAACGTTAGCGGAAAGTGACTGAGTGGTTTATTCACATCTTCTATTGGGAAGGTGGAATAACAGCAGCACTTTCGGGTGCTAAAGTTCTCCTCTGGTTTCTGTGCACCATTTGAGGTACGAACGGGAAGAAATACTTCCGAATCCCGGCTAATACAGAGACCACGGCTCGAACATATTTTTCAAAAAAAAATTGGAAAAACACATAAAAAAAAAAAAGAAAAACTGTTTTTAAAGAAATATAGGGTAAACGCTCCTATAGTGGCGGTACGTTAGAAGCGTTAGGTTCCTATAGTTGTGTACGGAGTCTCCATACACAACTATAGGAACCTAACGCTTCTAACGTACCGCAACTATAGGAGCGTTTACCCTACGTGTAAAAACATTTCTTAGGTCATCAAGGAAAAAATTGGACTCATAAATCCGCAAAAATTGATCCTTAAATTTTGTTATAGGTTCACATTTTTCTCATGATGACATAGAAAATATATTTTTACAAGTAATTTTTTCGAGGAATTTATTAAAAAACTGATTTTTTTTCGATTTTTAATACCTTTATCCAATATTTTTGAAAAAATCAAAACGCACCAGGATTTTGACGTAGGACTACGTCTTTGATTTCTATATGGGGGTACATAACTCAGCTACCCCTGGTCCAATTTCAATAATTGTATCACCAATCGATCAGAAATATGGCTACGCATCGATAAAAATGCTTCCGAATGTTGATTTTCAACAAGAAGCTATTGAAAAACTGGTAAATGTCCAGCATTGTCCAAAAGCGTCGAATTAACTAACAAATTCACCAATTACCTACATGCATATGCTGCTTCCCCAGCACAGTCGTCAGAGACTAGTAAGTAGACGAAACAAGTCGAAGTGCCATTCGCCTCCGATCGTCGGGCGCGTGCGAATACGGAGGATGGAATTGCGTAATATTTTGCACACTCATCGCCATATTCAGAACCACACGCTCACAACGACCACACAAAATGCTCTCCAGAGTTGTAATATTGTAACCAAACTTGGAAACACGGGATACACTCAAAAAATATATCACATAGGGTATACGTCCCTAACCTCGGTCTAATATGCAGCCATAGATTACGTTTTTAATCATAACTCATCAATTAATTTACCTGCAAACGATATTCTACTGCTAAATGGTATGCTTAGATATGCTTATCATGTCGTTTGCTATCAGGAACCGCAAAAAGTTGAAAAACTTACTTTTTTTAAGACAAAAACTCACCAGGGAAATGTATGTAATATCGGTCTATTGTCCCCAAATTGGGTCTATTTATGGATGCAACTTCGTCCTATCCTGTTTGATTCTCAAAAAAAACGCTCTTGGTAACGTTTTCTTATGTATTTTTTTTATCACTATCACTGTTAACTTAATACTCTTCATTCCTCAAAACATTTCTTAGAGAAAATTTTACGAAAACTACATTAAATCACTCAAGTTAAAAATTAAAAATTAAAAATTTCGCTTATCGTCTTTCGACCGCAGAATATCTAAATCAAAACATTGTGATGTTCATTATACAGATTTGGCAGAAAAAATCTCCCTTCCTGTTCGTTCCTTATCATCCAAATGCAAACCACATTGTTGACGTTACTCTTATTGCTATATGCTGTCAAATGAATTTCATGGGCCAAAGTTAGGAACATAGAAAAGAAATGTGTCCCTAAAGTTGGGTCCATGATTTACTTGTGAAAACGTTGTTAAACAATTAAAATAAACATAAAATATTCAAACAGTAACTGTGAGTTTTACGTCTAGTGTGTATTATCAGGTAATTCCATTCAATAAATGCCATAATCAGGCCATTTGATGATCGTCAGTGCAACCTTCCCATCTTAACCTTAGAAGTCATGGCGGCTAAAAACTCCGAACAGAGTGATATTCTCAACCAGTTTTATTACTTACGAGAGCTGAAAATGTATTGAAATGTTGTGATATAAATTGATTTGTGTGTGGTACACATTTATCAATCATCAGTGATCAATATTTTCCTTATTTTTTGTGTAATATTCCTTAATTAATTATTTATTTGCGTGATAGGCCGAATGAAAGGACTAGACCCACATTACATACCGTAACCCTATGTAATGCATGAAATCCATGTGAATTTCACATAGCTTTCCAAAAAAAGTTGGTGACAACCTAAAGAAATCGTTTAAAGACTTTGTCGTTCAGTTTTTTCCTGGAATTTTTTGTTAAATAAGCTAGAATTAAATCAAAAGGTTTTTCCCATACATTTTTAACCGCTTTACTACCAATCCCCAGAGAGCCAAAACATTCAAATTTGAAAGAGAAAATTCACTCTCACGATCTCAATATCTCAACATTCCATGTATTTTGTTGACACTCTGTAACATTTGGTGGGGGAGAGAGGATTAACATTTGAAGTCCCTCCAATACATAAAAATTCCCTCCCTTTTAACAAGAAAGCCTGCAAGAAAATACTATTTATCAAAAATTTCTAGGAAAAAACTGAACGATAATGAATGATTTCTTTTGACTTATTTTGACCATAATATGCATCCAAAGCGTTCCATTCACTTTTCCAAATTTCTAACTGACTATCAATAGAACAGCGCCATCAAAGAGAAAAAATAGCCTTGACTTAATGGTGAAAACTATTTTATAGTTCTTTAAAAATTCTACTCTTTTCTTAAATGAACTTGGTGGCTCCCACACCTGGACCCTACCTATCGACCCATCAACTCAACCGGGGACCAACGGCTTTACTTCCCTAAGGAAGGCGTGATCAGAGATGTTATGCCTTAGAACATGCCGGTGGCGCTGACTAAGATTGAACCCAGGCCTGCTGGGGTAAGAGGTAATCACGCTTACCACTACACCACCGGCGCCGCTAACTTTCATGGTGTTGCCATTGGCAAACTACGCAAAAGGAAAGGAGCCAGTGTCGCTACTTGATAGCAAACTACTCATAATGGGAGTAGTCTTTGTAGCTTTTATACCACTTGGTTGCACATCATTCTGCTTTATAAAAAAGCGCTTCTGTCTAGCATCAACTCATTTTCGCTTCGGATGGCCTGGTGGTCAGCAATAGCAGCAGTAGGAAGGTGGTGGCTAGTCCACCATTCTACATTCAACAAGCAACAAACAACATGTCGCGACAAAGAAGGAAGAGGTGTTGGTCAAAGAGGCACCAAGCGTCATCGCAAAGTTCTTCGAGATAACCGCCATCTGGCTCGCCGTGGTGGTGTCAAACATATCTCCGATCTGATCTACGAGGTGTGCTGAAGGTGTTCCTGGAAAATGAGATCCGTGATGCTGTCACCTATACTAAACACGCCAAGCGTAAGCGGCCATGGAAGCCGTCTACAATAAAACGGCCCTTTTCAGGGCCATCAAGCTTATGACAGTAAAGAGTTGAAATATAATTTATCTGTGCCTGTTTGTCCATATTCAGAACCACAGGCCCTCAGCGACCCCACAAACTGCTCTCCAGAGTTGTAATCTTGTAACCAAACCTGGAAGCAGGGGTGCAAATGATTTTGATTGATCCTCTTCATCAACCTTCTATTTGAAAAAAAAACTACTGCAAATTTGATACGCTTACAAATCAAAAACGGAAAGAGTTTATATGAAAAGAACTAAATGCTCTTCACATTTGTTCCGTCTACTAGCGGTCCTACGTCAAGCTTCCGTTCGTGCCCCTAGGCATAGACCCTTCTACTTTTTTGTTTTGTTTTTTAGCTTCCTCTTAAACTTTCAGGACTCGTGTCACTTTTTGTAACATGAGGACTTGCGCGTTGTATAAAATTCAACGGTATATTATTTTCACCTTGCCGGCACTTCTTGAAACCAGATTTTCTGCAAAATAAATTTTAAGTATTTGTCTATTGGAAATGGGTATTAAATTTCATGAAACATGTTTAGTTTTGCGTTGAACAAGTTCCAAAGTCAGTAAGTTTATAATTTATTTTTGTGTTGTACTGGAATGTCGAGCATGAGTTTGAGGGGAAAGAGAACGATATTTATTTTTGAAAATTCAAAATCAGTTTTTTTGTTAAAACCGAAATTCTGTCAATGTGTTCACTGTGTTCCAGTAGGCAATGAACACATTTTCATGAGTGTAATTTAGTTTTAAACTAAAAAACTGGATTTGAATTTTTGAAAATTAATGACGGACCTTACACCTTAACCTACAGCATACTGATATTAGTAGCAAAATTCTTTTTTATTGATGATAAAACAATAACAATCCTTAGGGTGTCCATTTGACCCTCAGTTCCCGTGCTCAGCATTTTTAATGATTTTTCTATAAATTGTTCAAAACTATTCGTTTTGAATTTATTCGTTGTTGAAAGTTAGTATTTTTCTATTCATCTGCATCGAATACATAGAAAATAATGATCAAATAATGTTTTAAGCAAGGAGAAAATTTAATTTAAATATAAAGAAAGAACTCTCAAAAACAAGTGGTTTAAACTATAGCACAACATTTAAATGTAGCCTTTTGTGGATCATTTGTTTTAGAAGACACAAACCATGAGGGATTTTCTTTAAAACTTTTTGATATGAATTAAGTGTAAATCAATCCCATCTTTTGATTCTGCCGAGGGAGCGTAAAGCCGTTGACGGAACACAAATCAAGGGAAAAAAGCTTAAGAAGAAGAAGAATGTCATTAGAGACTTGTTCGGGGATGAGCTTTGAACCCGCGACCTTTAACGTGAGAGGCGAAAATATTACGAAAACAGTGAACAATTTAATGGAGGTTTAGGGCTCTAAGATATAATGCAACAACAATTCAAAACATTGGCATGCTTAAGTTGATCAAAATAAAGGATAAGAAAAATAATTAAAGTTTTAGGATAGTTTGAAATTTATGAACGCTCAGTTATAAAGATTTAAAAAAAAACACCATCTCATTAAGTTTTTAAGAAATTTGACTATGATATTTATTGTTGTTTAGCTAATGTTTCCATTCATTAGGATATTAGAGTCTTTTCACTTATTTGTTTTAAGATATATATATTTAAATTGTATCGTGCATGTAACTGATTTCTTTCTATTTATATTTTTCAGGACTACGGTGGCCCATTTGACGAATTGGCAACACTGCACACAGAGCAAAAAATAGAAATTGAAACAGATTATCGCGAGTGGTTGATAGACTCGGGTGCTTTGAAGGAAACCCCCAAGGATAAGAACAGTGCGATAAAACCACCGACCAAGGCATTCCGAGGGTTGGAGATCGACTAATCATTAACCATTGACCAATTCCCCGACATATTACACATGTCAAGACAGGAGAGGACATCGTTTAAGGAGTGTGTGATAGATTATGGAAATGTTTTGGTTGAGGAATATTTTAGAAATGTTAGTCATATAGAGTGTCAGAAAAATTGTTGATTCGTAACATATTAGAGATTCAAATGATTATATTTTGTAGCTATCGAATAGTGGTCTGGTTTATGGAAAGAAATGCCAATCATATATCTATTAAGCATTTTATACGGCCAAATAAAAAAAATCAAGTTGATAATGTATGATTAAATAGATGGTTAATTTAAAATATGAGCAATAATTAATTTCTTTTGAAATATTAAAAATATTAAATATTAAACGTTACTCGTTCTTACATCCTCTACATTTTTTTATGCAACGAATATTCTTTTAATGGACATTAGACTGATGCATATTTTGACATTTTCGCTCCACAGTGCTCATACGGTTCCAAATCGGGTCCTGATTAGTCTCCCAAAATTTAAACTCATTTGCAAAGAAACTGACTTGGCACAAACCATTTGAAGTTTATATGGAAATTAATATGGGAAATCAAAACTTTCTGTTCATTGTCTTCTTACCTTTTTCCATATTGCACTGTTCAAAAATTCAAAAGCTTTACTTATGGAAAATTTTCTCAGCTTCAACTTAGCAGAATATAGTTGTTGAGCCAAACGTCAAATAAAATAGTTATTAATTGTTTAAGAGATTGATGATCTTATGGCATGATCAAGCAGCTGTTTTGTGAGCAACACTGTATCTTGCAGTGTGACATAGTAGCCATAATTTTTGTGCTCTATTCCAAGCGCCAGAAACACCAATGTTGCCTGCTGAACAGTTGATTGAGCATAATCGTAAGACATTAGTGGCTTGAATTATTGATAACTTTTGATGCTTACATTATATTGAAAAGTGGTTAAGGACAAAGTTGTAGCTGATAAAATTTTCTACGAGCTCAGTTATCGTTTTTTAAGGCATAGCGATATGGTAAATTGTTAGATGGATATGAACAAAACATTTGGTTTTCCAATAGTAATTTCCATATAAACTTCAAATGGTTTGTGCCAAGTCAGTTTCTTATCGAATGAGTTCAAATTTTGGGAAACTAATCAGGACCCGATTTGGAACCGTTTGAGCACTGTGGAGCGAAAATTTTAAAATTTGCATCAGTCTAATGGACATACAACATATTTTTCAAGAAAATATTTTTTCATGTTACTCAGTGAATAAGAAATATATAAAATACAAACTAAACATTACAGAATTAAGAAAAAACCTTCCGGCAACAACATTACAGAATCTTTTCTCAAATTCTGAACATTCATCAAAAAACATATCTGTAACATAATCTTACGTTTCCTGGTTGGGTGTAAAACTTTGCTTTAACTATGTACGTGATGTAAGATGCTCTTGTTCTCCAAATGATTCAAATGGACGAATTATGACCTTCTACTACTTTCTAGCGTCCTTCTAGCAAATAACTTTCATCAGAGCTGTGATACCGCACCAACGAGCTGAGGACCGTGATTGGGTGGTTTACGATCAACACGAGGATGTGCTTCAACTGGGGCTGTTGCATTGTCCACACCAAGCAAGACCCGATGACGAAAAGGATGCATTTGACGCGCAGCTCGAGCAAGTAAATGGCTGCTGTCTTCAAGGGGATGTGCGTTCAACTCCCTGGTTTTCCAAAAAGTATCTTAAAATTTTACAGTTTGAAATGAAGTTCCAGTTTGATGATGATGATGATGATGATGATCCCACCTCTTACCCATATCAAAGGTTTGAGCTGGACGATTTATCTTTAAGATAATTGAATATGACATTTTAGGCAGGTTAGCTAAAAAAATCGAACTGGATACAGTTACAGATATAAATTCCCTCTTGAGTTTACATTAGCGTCACAGCGATGGAAATGTGGAAAAGCTTATGCGTCTACCTGTTAGTTCACTTTTTTGTTCACCTAAAATATTCATAAGTATTACAAGCAATCAAGAGTTAATCGGCAATCAACAAAGCATCCTATTACACTAGCAACCCCAGAATCTGATGCTATCATAATTTTCAGCACGAACCCCCGACATTCAGCCAGAAAACTTAGTACTAACTCAAGGTATCTTCCAAGAAAGCTTCAACATTGCATTTTTTTATCAAATGTTAAATTCAGTCCTCTATATCCGTATAATACGTACCGTATTACGCGCGCTAGGTTACAATAGTTATTAAAAAGTCATTGTGATAGCTATCTATACAAAATAATCTATTAGAGATAACTTCGCAAATCTTCATTCAAGTGTGAAACGGCAACTTCTTAATCCTTAGCTGCAATGAACAACACAGTATCATTTGCTACAGGATTAACGTCGCAAAATCGTGAAACTCGTCGCAAGTCGTTAATATTCGTTCCCTGGGGCACTCCAAGGTTATTCTCACGGGACTGGAAATATAACCATTGAAAACAGTCCGTTGAGTTCTCTCAGATAAATAGCTTTCAAACCATTTATGCAGTACTCATAATTCCAAAGCACTTTATTGTACTCAACAATAAGGGCATAGACATTGTTTCAAAAGCGCGCAATACAGCAACAGTCTTATCTCTATGGTCCAATATATCTTTCCACTTCGCTAAGACCAAATTCAACGCAGTTTCACAAGAATGACCTTCTCGATATCCTGATTGTTTTGGTGTCAAAAAAGAGTTGCTATTCAAATACTTCAACAGCTGGCCTATAACAACAAGTTCTAACATTTTCTCTAATTTGTGCAACATGTTGATGGGACGAAACTCTTCGGCTTTAATCGTTCCAGCAACATTTTGAATAGGAACCACTATTCTTTCCAAATGTGTGGCACATTGCCAGTCTGCAATGATTCATTAATAAGGTCCAACAAGATGTGGCCAATGACATGACAGCAATCTTGAACAGCTCTAGCATTAACATGATCTACTCCAGCCGATTTTCCTAATGAAAAGCAAATAACTCTAAGTTCATCAAATGTAATTGGATGAAAACCTTCAAATCTACAACTACTATTAACTGACTGTTTTATTTCATCAGGTTCATCGACCAATTCAATGGAAAGATTATTCATTGGAACACTGTTGACATAAGAATCATTAAATTTAGATGCAATTACTTGTTCTGACTATAATAATGTGCCATTAAAAGTTATGGACCGCGGTTTGCAATTACTAGGATTTATTAAAGATAAAAAAAATTCCATACCTCTTTGCTGTTGTTTTGATGCTGATCAATTTTTTTTCTGGACATATTCACAACGAGTTTTTTTTTATCGATTGTCAATATTAATTAAGCGCGATTGTGTAACTATTCCAATGATTATCACTATTTGATCTACAAAACTTTTTGTACTCTTACGTTTAAGATGCAAAAGATCCAAATTGTACCAGCTCAATTAATTGATTGATACACGTTTTCAAAGCGTTAGTCGGTCCAGCTGTATATTCATCTAAATCACCGGTCACGAATGGAAAATCTACGCTTCTCTCAACAAGATTCGAAACAGCCTGTTTTGATTATTTCTTCCAGCACTAAAATTTTACTGAGTCATCGATATTATTGATATTATCTAATACATCAACCACTAAGGTAAATCGGTTATTTTAAATCAGTATTCGCATCAAAATTGGAATAAACGTGGTCAATTAAAGTTCTACCGTGCCTGGAAATACGCGTATATTCATCTACCGTTTGTTTTAAATTGAAAAAAAAAACAAATCAGCTAAACTCTTCAAATGATTCGAACCATAGTTTTCACGCCAATTAATATTAAAATCATCAGCTAATACATTTAATTTACTAGAGTCAAGGAATGTCTCGAGCCAGTTCTTTGAAACTTCAACAAAACGCTGGTCACTAAACGTTGGTTTTGAACTAATTTTGTAGAATTTTTAAACATTTTTTAGTATAAGCAGTGAATGGAGGTCAGGTGGTGAATGGGCATCAAACGGTAGTTTGAATGGTGAATTGCAACCTTACGCTACTTTCATATCTTGTCTGACAATCAAACAACTCATTTTAAATAATTCAGTTTGACAAAACATCGTGCTTATTATTATGTGATGACCAATTAAAAGCATTTTGTTTCAAATAGCCGTTTTGCAGTAATAGAGATTAATATGTTTTCCTTTAAAGACCGATTAATTGAATTCTATTGATGTAAACCTAGTATTACATACTATATGAAGTGCTGCTATTCAGCACAGGTCATACACATATTCACAATTTAGAAAATTACAAATAGTAGTAGCTTCAACCATCCATAGATATAGGTTAATGTACCTGAACCTGGACGGATACTTGAGTCTACCTAGGGGAGGACCCAGATGCGACTACCCATGTGAGTCTAGAGTATCTCACAGTTTCCAGGTCCGTGTACTATATTTTCATACCTTTTTTATCTGATTACCATGAAATTCCCTAGAATTGGTCAAAACATGATTTTTGGTTAATTTCTTAGTTATCAATTCCCTGGATGGTAGAAACCACGTAGCACAGCTATTAAATTTTTAAATTTGACACGTAATATTTACAAACCGAAATTCTGCGACAATGAAAACATTTATTATTTTGGAATTCAAAAACTTATCTAAATTATGGAATATAATTTAAAAATCTAATAATAAACCATTTTCCACATTCTCATTTTTTTTGCAATGCCTTTAAAAAATTACGTAGCATTTTCCCCAGCGACATCTATTGCTGAATTCAACCATGCTTTATCAAATGTTGCTGTTTATATAAAACCGAAAAAAATGTGATGGGCACCGGGGAAAATCGGTTCCACCTGCATAGCTTCATGTTGCCAAGCTTTAACGATCGTAATCGTAATGCTTCTTTCCGTTATTTGACGTCGGTCTCTGTTCCGCAATCTAGTACCAATCACCGACGAATATCGATTGCCATGCATTGACAGCAATCGAATGTGCAGGAAGGTAGCTTCACACTTGCGTAGGATATCCCACCCAGTCAACATACATGGGCCAACGGCTTTACTTTCCTTCCGAAGGAAGACGTGACCAGAGATGTTTATGCCTCAGAAAAATCCCACCGACCTCGGCTGGGATTGAACCGTGACCCATTGGGGTGAGAAAGCAATCACACTTACCACTACACCACCGGCGCTGGCTAATTAGTCGT